ATAAGGAAACTACTCTCACAAAGGAAAAGAAACACAGACATATGCCTTATATATGTAAATGATAAACAATTGTTCTGCTTTGAACATAATATGCTATTTTCACTGACAAATTTACAATTTCCTACATGATTTGTGACAATCTAACTAGTGTCATTTCAACATATATTTTAAAGCTGTGTGTGTGGAGGGGGGGGAAGAACAATATTTATAACTGTGTCTATCAAAATTGAGAATGGAGGGTAAGTGATTACCTTTTAATAGGTACTGTTTAACATGCCAGACATAGAGCTAGTTGCTCAACATATATGAGCTCATTTAGTTAATCAATCACTAGTTTTAGACACATGCAACTTTGTGTAATAGAAAGAGTGCTAGGAAAAGGTAATGAGAAAATTTAGGTTCCAGTTAGTGTGCAAACATAGGTGAGGATGAATGGAGTAGAAGAGTTTAAGAAATAGTAAATCTAGTTTATCAAATTGGTCACTCACATGGAAATTAAAAGTACTCAGGAGGGGGAAATCCTTAGAAACTGGCTTCCAGTCTTTCTTTATACTCATTCCTTATATAGAAAGATCCAATATTTATATTTTTTAATACATATGGAAGAGAGTTCAGGAATCTATAAATGGTAGTGAAAAAAAGATAGGGTTATATGTGTTTTCAGCCAGTGCAATAGCAATACTTGGAAGATAGTAATTGAGTGCAAGGCATAAAGAGCCATACAGGGCATGAAGAGCCATGTAGGACAATACTGTGATGGGAGGATAAGGAGGGATACTGAGATTGTAACCAGATAAAAACTTGTGTGGTTGATGACCTGAAATGATGGAAATGTGAATCTGGTTTTCAGATATGACTGCTGAAAAGTGCCTTCACTGCACGTGTCCAGAGAGCTGACCAAGGCTTGAGAACAGCAGAGTCTGGGAGCTGGTGCAGGGTTGCTAAACTTGTAGAAACAGCCCTACCATCTCAGCAGGGAAGGTGGCCCATGCAGGTTAAGATCTGGGTGAAGGCTGAGGTCCAGTGACAAAGGGAGCCTGGATTGCTAAATGAAAACAGAACAGGATGGGCCTTGGAAGCACCTGACAGCTCCATCAGCTGACATCTTGCCCCATCCAGATGAAAGAATGATGGTCTCAGACAGCTTGTGTTGAACATATAGCATTTATCGAAAAGCTTATGTGCCAACAGAATCTTCAGCATTTTACATTTGTTAGTTAATCAATCTTTCTCAAGAATACTATGAAATTTGTATTAATATCTGTATTGTTAAGATGAAGAACCTTAGGCTAATAATGTAGAATAAAACATTTAAATCTAAGGGTTTCTGATTTCAAAACTTGAGCTTTAAACCCCACCTTACGTTGTTTCTCTAACTAAAATTTTCTTTGTTTTGGGCAAAAAATTTGGGATACATATACATTTTCACTATATTTATACTGCAGACACTCAGGGTTAATGCCTGATTTTAGTCTTACAATCAGACATTTATCCTAGATGGTAGAACATTCAACTGCAGTAGAAGAAACATTTCATATACACTTCAGCAAAATGGAGCCACACACATATAGAAAAGCTCTATCTAACAGTGACAACAGTGAAAAGGAGACCTTGCTTTATAAGTCTCTTAAAACTTAAGACTAGTAGTGATAAATCAAATTTTCTTTTCCTGGGTGAAGAAGAAAACTTAAGAAAGAAGCAAAGTTGGGAGTAGAAAAGGAGATGAAGAACTGGAGTATAATTTTCTCATTTCTCTGTCCAGGAGAGAGCCTTCTAGAACTCACAGAAATACCTCCTTTTCTTGAGACACGAAATGGATTTTTAAAAAAAATTTATAAGCCAATCAACTCTAAGTGTACCTAATAGCACCTTGTAAAATCTAAGCAGCATAAATAGCAGGCTCTGTCCTGATGTGATTGGTTTTCTGAGTCATTGCTTCTTTAAAAAGCTGAATTGATCTTTCTATCTTGACTCTGGTAGAAATCTGAGGATTTTTTGATCAAATGACAAGTGCTCTGCCTATTAAACTATTTTGTTTGATTTTTGAGGACAGACTGTGTTTTTCCTCTGTCTTACAGAAACTTGAAAAATAAATTAAAATATTTTTCCAGAATGACTTATACCCAAAACTTTAAAGATAGCCATTAAATTTTATTGTATTGGTAGTCCTGCCATGAAATATATTTGAATTTGATTCTCCTCTACCATCAGGTAAATGCACAGTATTAAGTCAAAGGCACACACAGAGAAAGAAGTTACAAAGTGAGAGGACATTAAACTTCTTGACCAATTTTTAACATTAAATTTTATTTGTTTTAAGCATTGGATAGATCGGGAAGTGTCTCTGCATAAGAAACATGTAATGTTGGGGACTCAAAGACAAATTATAGCAATATTTTGTTTTTATGTTTCTTCTACTACCAAAGTAATGATTCCAATAGAGAAAATTTCTTAGTAGTTGGTGATATTACTCTCAAACTATTGCTATGTACAAAATATTTACTTTCTTATTTTTCTTGATCAGTCAAGAGAGGCATTTTATAGAGAAAATAAAAATAACAAAATAATAGTTTTTATACTCTAAATCAGAAATTTAGTTGGGGAAGTTGCTGGAGTAGGTGAATGAGGAGATTAAAATCCTATTGAGGTTTAGGGTATACTCTGATCAGCAATGCTATTCATTAATACTTTTATTAAATCTTCAGAAGACTATAGAATTCCCAGAAATTACATTATATAAAGAAGCTGAGGAAACATCATTACTATGGTTTATATTCCTTCTCTTTCATTTTATGCTTATATTTAGCAACTGTTATGGGGATGGGTGAAAATGCTCCTAAAGTTGTGGATGACATAGTAACTTTAAGGTGAGTTCTGACTAGATATATAGACTAGTGCCAATGTCTTTCTTAAAAAAAAAATCTGCCTTTGTCATTTTATTAATGTATTTGTTTCATTGGCCCTGGGTGGAAGAATTCAAAGCAAGCCTTCAGAAAAGGAAGTTCAAAGAGTTTAACTAAAGTAGGACAGGGAATTAAAATGCTATTGTTGCAAGAAGAGGCAGCCTTTCTATTTGTCCATCTCCTCATTCCATGGTTAAAAGGAGATCTTTTTGCATAATAACACAACAAAATTATGGCATAAAAGGCAATTAGCTTTAGAAAAATAAATGTTTCTTTTATATGTGGTCAACAAGAAGAATGGAGCCCTCCTAGAACAGAGTGAAAATCTGATTGTCATGGGGCTCACGTAACAACTGTAAGAGATACCACAGCATGGAATATTAAGGACTAAAGCAGCATAAAGCCTGGAAGGTTCAAGCAATGCAGGTAGAAAAGGAAGGGGGGGAGAAAGGGAGAGAGAGCGAGAGAGGAAGGAAGAACTTATATTTTTCCATCAAAGACAGAATAGACAGAAGTCAACATGAAGAGAAAGTAAAGAAATTAGTTCTATTAGCCTCTGGATTACAAGTATGTTCATGATCAGTTATTGCTGCCCTTGAATGCTTTTAAGGCTTTGCACAGTGTATCTATTTTACATTGCACTATTTTACATTGGTATTGTATTTTAAGGCCCAAAATGTGATCCATAGGGAGCCAAATGTACAATAAACTCAATTTAAAGCTCTTCACATTTGTAAGATATGAATTTGTTGATCTCTGCATTTCCTTTTAGATTTTTGTTGAAGCTCTATTCTGATTCTCCCATTTCCCTTCTGCTCCAGCATTTATGCAACCCAGGTGACATATGGCTTAATTCTATAGTTCAGGTTCAAGGTCTGTATCTTCTCATTTTCTACTCTGAGCTCTGTTGTTTCCCTTCAGGAACTGTCTGTGGTGATGATGATCCAGATCCTGCTATGGCCTTGGAGGATGAGATCCTGAGAGAAGGGATCCTATGACTAATACAGTTATTAATGAGAAAGATATTTGAATCATACTGAATGAGGTAAATAAAAAAGGAGATTATATAAAAGCTATATCATTCAATCTCTCTTGTCCAATGAAGGGAAATACCCAGTTAATTCAACACACTGGGTCTGGTCTTCCAGAACCAACATGATGGAGCTGGTTCCCAAAGAGAACACAATTTCTCAATCTCTCATCTTATCTATTGAGATTAAATTCCAACACTTTCATTGGGCAAGTTATTTCAAAGACAAAATATTGTCTGTGTTACCACACATTGGTAACAAAATAAAGGCCTTACTTATTTTTATGACTGAGAAATTTTCCTGCATCTTGAACCTGATAAGAAGTCACAGAAAAAGCAAACTACAAATTAACATGCTTAAAACTAAACACTAAATTATGATATTTAATCTTATAGAATATTGATAGACAAAATAAAATGCTTAAATACTAAACAATAAATTATGAAATGTAATCCTATAGAATATTAATATAATAATAGCAAATGGGATTTATTCAGGAATGTAGGGATAGATGACTAAAACAATCAATTAAAAACGTCAGGAGAAGCTTGGGCAGGTACAGGGCCACCAGCTCCCTGTAAAGGAGGAGACGCTGCAGCAGGCCCAGCTGTATGTTGAGACAATCATCGGCTTCTCGCCCAAAGACCTGCAGGCTGTCTTGTGCCCTCCCTAGGACAGGGCCAAAGGGCATGGTCCAGGGGCCTTCATGGCCCTGGGGGTCTGGGTCTGTCTGAGCTCCCTTTTCTCCAGTGAGGGGTAACCCAGCCAAGCATGAGCTCCTTGACCCTGGCTCCCTGCTGTTCTCTGGACTTGGACCCCTGCTTAGCACCACTACTGTCCCAGCAGTAAAGTTGGCATTTGGAACCTCAAAAAAAAAATAATAAAAATAATATAGCATAGTGAAGCATGGTAGCAATCATCTCAGGTAAAAACTGCTGTTTAATTTTTAACTCTGCTATTCTGGCTTCTGTAATTATTTGCTTTCTAAAATAATAGACAAGTTATTTTAATCTCCTGAACTTATATAAATCACCTCATTCGATTGTATACCCCATTGATTGTGGTTTTACTGGTCTTTCAAAACACATTCCTCTTTACCTGGAGACCAGGACAGCACAATTGCTTTAATTGCTTCAGTGACTCCAGAAAATGTGTTTTCCATTGACTCAGTGGCTCCAAGACCTAAAATTATAATTAATCTTTGTAGATAACTAAATGGCTCATCTAAGCTTCTGTAACAAACTGCTTTTGCAAACCAGGTTCCTCATTCCAAATCTAGAGATGTAATCAATACCTTTGTGATGCTTGCCTTTAGAAGCCTGATGTTACTGCCATTTGGGGCTGTGAGATTTGGAGAGCATTTGCCCCCTTGTAGCTGCTGGCTTTGAAATAAATGTGGCTCCTTGATTCGACTTCTTGAGGCATCCTTGTGTGATTCGTGGGGTACACCACAACAATAGTACTTTACTAAAAGAAGAAAAATAAAAGATTTTACAATAAATGACAAAGCATTGGATAAAATTTAATATGTATTTCTGATTTTATAATCTTAGTAAAATAGAAAAAAGAGCATTTCTTAACCTGGTAGATACATATTTTGAGCTAGCCAACATCATATTGCAGACTTGAATATTGAAAGAATTTTCATTCAAATAAAAAGGATGAGAAGAATGTATGAAATCACCACTATTATTTGTCATATTCCTGAAACTTTAAGAAGGTGCAGTTGACAAGAAAAAGAAGGCAAGAACCATAAACAGGAAAACCCAACAAAATTATCATTTCTTACTATTGATTTGATAGCCTACATGGAAACACTAAAAAGCTAGTGGAAAAGTTTAGAAATAGACAATTCAGGAAAATGGTTACTTTACAAAATAATTTTTGTAAGTTCAGTAGTTTTTCATATGCCAAATATAAATAAGAACAATATAATGAATATTCTATTAAAATATCAGCAAAACCCATAAAATAAATGGTTATATACAGCTACGAAATGTATAAGAACTATAAAAGAAACTTAAAAACTACTGAGTTGCAAACAATAACATTTTAAAAACATACACTACTTAATGAAGTAAGAATTAAATATACATAGCAAAAGTTGGACAAATAATATAGGTACAGTTTGATAAATGTTTACACAGTAGACACATCCACATAACCTCCAAAGAAAGAAAGAAATTGAATATTGTCATCTAGATTAATATCTATAATTTGACTAGAATCTATTATTATATATTTTGTAACAGTGGGGCCAAGATATTGAATATAAAGTCTTGTAACACCACTATAGTCATGATATAAAATATTTATGACATACTAGGCAGTTAGACACACATGAGCAGAGTAGGAACGAAAAGCCAGGTATGGAAGGTCACCAGGGTGGAAAACCCTGGGTGCCTAGTGATGGACAATTGTGACCCTCCAGGGTGACTTTTCTTCCCCTAACATATTAGTGGTCATGTGGTAGACCCTTTTAGAGGAGGAGCAAGGAGGCTGGAGAACAACCCCATAAGACCCCAAACTAGCCCATGCAGGACCATTCCCTTAAGCATTAAACCCTCAAGATGACGAGGTTCTGACCTGCATCAAATAATCTCAGGAACAAAGCTGTGGGTCTGTTGACCACAGAGACAAAGTTTTGGTCAAACTAGTGATAACATCTAGGACTCAGTTGTGTTTCAGCTCCAGCCCAGAAAAGCAGCAAGGTCAGGCAGGGCAACGCCCTGATGTGATGACTAATGATCCACTGCTCTGGCACGGATGAATCAGTGGAGACCACAAACACGAAGATACACACCTGAACATCTGATAGATATTCTATTGAGATTCTCCCCTAAAATTTCGACCTTTAGGAAGCAGATACAACCTCTTAAGATAAAGGTCTCTCTCTTGAGCATGCCAGCACCTTTCCTCCCTTTCTTCCTTCAAGGTGCATACCTTTGCTTGCTTTCTCCTAAGCTCTAAGGGCCCTTCTTTTGCCTCTACAACATGTTTCCTGAGCCCACCAGTCCAGCTGACTCACTTCTTTCATGAATCACTTCTTCTACCTTTGCGACTTTCTAAATAAACTTTTGCTTGTATATGAGTGTTGGCTCTGAATTCTTTCTTAGCCAAAACTCAAAGACTGAGGCCTATAATATCTGGTGCCATTTTCTGTTAATATTCCTATCACTTCAAAAATTTCCCTCACTCCTGTTTACAGACAAATACACTTTTCCTTCCCTTGTGGCTCAGAGATTGAGTGTCAACCCATGAACCAAGAAGTCATTGTTCGACTCCAGGTCAGAGCACATACCTGGGTTTTAGGCTCATGCCCCAGTAAGGGGCATGCAGGCGGCAGCCGATTGATGACTCTCTCTCATCATTGGTGTTTCTATCTCTCTCTCCATATTCCTTCCTCTTTCTTAAATAAATAAAAATGTATTTAAAAAAATACCTTTCCTTTATTCATAGCTCCTGGCAACAACTGATCAAGTGTCCCTTGAATTTATACCAGTGAAATTATACAATATTTACCAGTGCTGACCAGCAGACCCTGAGCGATGGAAGAACAGATTACTCTGACACAGGTTTCTGTGAAAGAGAGGGCTAAGGGACTCTTACTTCAGTAAGGGACTCTAAAAGCAGTCCTGTTTGCCTGCCTTGTTGGCTTTTTATTGTGACAACAGCTTGAACTTAAATTAACCTTTAGACACAATCAGTAGGGCAAGTATCCTTGAGAAAGTATATGCTTCTACAAGGTCAGGTCTTTAAAGACTAAACAGAAATTCCAGCAAAACACCCCCGGGGGATCGAACTTGTTTGGAAAAGTCAAGGTAGAGGCTGCCACCTTTGGCAAGGTCCCCTCAGAGGCCCGACCTTTTAGAGAATCCTCCTTACAGACATTCCAACCAAGTCCCGTGCTTCCTCACAAATATTGGTCTTTTGTGTCTAGAGTATTTTATTTAGTAAAATGAATTTGAGATTTGTTCATTTGTTCCATGTATCAGTAATTAATTCCTTTTTGCTAATTGATAATATTGCATTGAATGGATATACTATTACTTATTTATCCTTTCATTATAAATGGATATTTAGATTATTTCCAATTTTGGGACATTTAATATACCGTTTGCTGCAAACATTCACGTAGTCTTATGTGAATAGTTTTCCAATTTTCTTGGGTACAATGCAACATTGACACAAACTACCTAGATTCAGATCAAACTTCACTGGTTAAGGGCACAGCTTTCCACAAGACTGCCCTTACTTTAGACACCAGCAGCAAATTGAGGGTTTCCAGGCTACCTACACTCTTGACCAACTGACTACAAGTTCAGGGAGGTTCCTAACCCCCCCTCCAGTCACCCCCCCAGCATAATTCTTTAGAATGCCTCATAGAACTAAAGAAAGTGCTATACTTATAATTACAGTTTATTTTTTAATTCAACAAATAGTTATTGAGTGTCTATTATGAGCTAGATGTTATTCCAGGTACTTGGGACACAGCAGAGAACAAAAGGAAGGTCCCTGCCCTCATGGAGCTTACAGTCTAGTGCTTATGACCACGTTGCCTGCATGCTGTCTGTGACCGTGGGCAACTCTCTCCTCAGCTATCCAAGGCAGGAAGAAGCAGGCCTGGCCCAGACATGGATAACATGTCTGGTGCACTGTAGATGCCAAACAGATACCACCTCCAATCCACTACCCAGAGAGCAGATCAGGCTGGAAATTGACTTTTAATAAAACACAGGGAGGGGAGGGCAGAGGGAGTGCAGCGGGTGGTGTGGTGTGCTGCCACACCAGGGTCTGAGCTGGCTACACAAACTGCTGCTGGCAAGGTCCTTGGCTTCTCTGTAGCTGCCAGGGCCATCCCCTTAGCTTCTGCTTGGCTTCCTTGGCTGGGTCAACAAGGGTTTTGGAAAGGGCCTCACCTTGCAGGTTGGCCAAGATGTATTCAAAACCCTTCACTGACTTGGTCACATTGCTTTTGAACCAGGCGAGACCAAATTCCTGGACAGCTCGGGAGATGCCAAATAAGCTAGAGGAGACCCAAGCTTCCCAGTGGATTTCAGTCCAGCCACTGTCCTCAGAGTTCACATAGTAAACACACCATTCCTCCACCACCATCAGCCGGGTGTGGTTGATGTTCCAGGTGAAGATGGTCATGGTCTGGTTCTGTGGGTCCACAATAGAACCCTCCAGGATGTACACCGAGTGAGCAACATTTGCAGGAAATAGTCGCTTGGCCCAGCGGGGCATCCTGTTGGTCTTGGTAAGGAGTCTCCGGTACAGGAGCTTCTGGTCAACAAGTGGGAAATGCCAGGAAGGGCCTTTGCTCCAAGTTGTGCTGGGTCAGGGCTTCAGGATACTTTGCTTGTGGTTAAAGCCTGATGGTAATGAGACCAGGATCCTCGGTTCCTTTTCCTGGCTGGGGTAGTCTGGTTTGTACTGTGCAGGTCTCACTTCCCTAAACCACACTAGGCTGGCTCGCCTGCTGTCACTAGGTGAGGCGGAAGGGTAGTGTCTTACTGCCAGAGATAGGACTGGATGGGCTTTTCAGACAGCCAGATGTTGGCATGGTCCCTGGAGGACTGGGTCCTGTGGATAGACATGTAGGGATGGTAAATGATGGGCCACTTACTGGAGGGGTCAGTGGTTCACTATGCTCAGCTTCAGTAACTTGCTCAGTCATTCAACAAGTGTTCCTTGAGTTCCTATCATGTTCGGATCATAGCCTTCCTCATGGAGCCCTCTGTTTTGGGGTAGAGAGTTTCCTAAACAGGGATGGTTGCTGAGGGGGATGCTTAGAACAGAAGGTGTAAGCACGTTCAAGTCCTGAGGTAACACAAAGTAGTGGGGGCTCTCTCTTCAGGGAGTGGAAAGAAGGCTTTGCTGGGACTGTGCCAAGGGGATGATGACAAGATTTCTAGAAATTACACTGTGATTCTTACAGTTTGAGTTGTTAAAATGTGGGGCTTTGCCCTAGCTGGTGTGGCTCAGTTGGTTGGAGCATTGTCCTGTACACCAGAAGGTGGCGGGTTCCATTCCAGTAAGGGCACATACCCAGCTTGTGGGTTCAATCCCCGGTCTGGGCGTGTGCTGGAGGCAACCGATCAATGGTTCTCTCTTCCCTTCTCTCTCTCAAAAAGAGTGGGGCTTTGTGGGCTAGTTAGGATTATGTGTTAAGCAAATACTTGTTTTTTCGGGGGAGGGTGATTGAATTCAACAAATATTTATTGAGTGCCCATTATGCGTTAGATATTGTTCCAGGTACTTGGGACACAGCAGAGAACAAAAGGAAGGTCCCTGCCCTCATGGAGCTTACAGTCTAGTGCTTATGACCACGTTGCCTGCATGCTGTCTGTGACCGTGGGCAACTCTCTCCTCAGCTATCCAAGGCAGGAAGAAGCAGGCCTGGCCCAGACATGGATAACATGTCTGGTGCACTGTAGATGCCAAAAAGATACCACCTCCAATCCACTACCCAGAGAGTAGATCAGGCTGGAAATTGGCTTTTAATAAAACACAGGGAGGGGAGGGCAGGTGGTGTGGTGTGCTGCTGTCCAAGGCAGGAAGAAGCAGGCCTGGCCCAGACATGGATAACATGTCTGGTGCACTGTAGATGCCAAACAGATACCACCTCCAATCCACTACCCAGAGAGCAGATCAGGCTGGAAATTGACTTTTAATAAAACACAGGGAGGGGAGGGCAGAGGGAGTGCAGCGGGTGGTGTGGTGTGCTGCCACACCAGGGTCTGAGCTGGCTACACAAACTGCTGCTGGCAAGGTCCTTGGCTTCTCTGTAGCTGCCAGGGCCATCCCCTTAGCTTCTCCTTGGCTTCCTTGGCTGGGTCAACAAGGGTTTTGGAAAGGGCCTCACCTTGCAGGTTGGCCAAGATGTATTCAAAACCCTTCACTGACTTGGTCACATTGCTTTTGAACCAGGTGAGACCAAATTCCTGGACAGCTCGGGAGATGCCAAATAAGCTAGAGGAGACCCAAGCTTCCCAGTGGATTTCGGTCCAGCCACTGTCCTCAGAGTTCACATAGTAAACACACCATTCCTCCACCACCATCAGCCGGGTGTGGTTGATGTTCCAGGTGAAGATGGTCATGGTCTGGTTCTGTGGGTCCACAATAGAACCCTCCAGGATGTACACCGTGTGAGCAACATTGGCAGGAAATAATCACTCTGCCCAGCAGGGCATCCTGCTGGTCTTGGTAAGGAGTCTCCGGTACAGGAGCTTTTGGTCAGGGGTCACCTCCCGGTGCACTATGTCTTCCGTCAAGACATGTGTGCTATAGGGATTCGGGCATGGCTGCCAGAAGGCAGCGAACACTTGGTCCCGGGAGCTCTGGAGCACGCTCTGACTCAGGAAATGCTCCACCATTGTCCTGGCCTGGAGGGGTCAGCACCCGAGCAGCATCAGGGGTGCAGAGCCTGGGGGGACGCTGAGGCCAGGCCAGCTCGGCACCTGCCCGCCAGGCAACTGCTCAGTCACTGCCCCACTGCAGCCACCAGCAGCCATCACCATGAGGAATTGTTGAGCCCTACTTACAGTTTTATTATAGCAAAAAGACAAATCTCTATCAGCTAAGAGAAGAAACATAATGGGACAGGGGGAAGGATGCTTCCATTTTCTCAGAATATATCACCCTTCCAGCACATAAATGTACTTTACTAAACAGGGAAACCAGCCTGAGCTTAAAATGTCCAGAGTTTTTAGTGGGGTTTTATTATTTAGTCATGATTGATTGAATCATTGACTACATAATTAAACTCAAGTTCAGTCTCCTCCTCCAGGGGTTTGGACTGATATCACATGGCTCTAAAATGCCAATGCTCTATTGACATGGTTGGTCTTTCTGGCATGGTTAATGTCCATTCTGAAACTGTCTAGCATCATCTCATTAGCATAATCTCAGACAGTGTTGTCCTAAAGTCACATTAAGAATAACAAAAACCTATTAGGAGGCAATTCTGAAGATTCAAATGCTTTTTTCTGTAACTAGGGGGAAAAAAACCAGTCGATTCTTCATTATACAACATTGGATAATATCTAGGAATGGGATTGTATGTTCCATTTTGTTTGAATTCACAAACATTTTTTCAAAGTGGCTGTGAAATTTTGACCTCTGATAAGCAGTACATAGGCCTTCCACTTGGACTTCATCTTTGCTATTACTTGCTACAATCAATCTTTTAAATTTAGCCATTTTACATGGTGTACTATGGTATCACATTTAATTTAATTTGAATTTTGTCAATGATCAATGATACTGAGAACTGTACATGTGTTTTCATGTAATTATTATGTCTTTGGTGATATGTATGTTAGAATTTGGCCCATTTTTCAAAAACTTTATCTTTTTGTTGAAACTGTTATAGATATCTGCTTCCTCCACCCATTGACCCTTTCTAGCCCGCATCTGATCCCCCACCGCAGGCCTTCACCACACTACTTTCTGTGTCCATGGGTTATGCATATATACATGTAAGTTCTTTGGTTAATCTCTTTCTACCCACCCCTACCTTAATCTTTTCTGGGATTAAGTTGTCCGTTAGGATTTTTAAAAGGTTAATTCCATGTTTTTATTTATTTATTATGTAACAGATTCATTGAGGCATTATTCATATACCATACAATTTATCCATTTGAAGTGTACAATTGAATGTTTTCTTTAGATTATTCAGTGTTATCCAACCATCACTATTGTTAAGGTTTGAAATATCCCATCTTATTCCCATTTATAGGTTGAAGTCCCACCCACCATGACTAGCTTTTAGTTAAGCTTTAATTTCAGATCATCTTATGTGGTTACTTTTGGTCTGAATTTATAAGGCCACCATGAAGGCCTCCCCTGAGCTTGTGAGGTTTAGCTGGTATGTGGCCCCTTTTTTGTCTACATTCTCATAGATCACTGTCTCTTCTTGCCTGATGAAAATATTATAAGAACTATTATTTTAGGTATATTGCCTTGTTTTTAGTTGTTTCAGAAATGAGGGGTTATTTGGTTCTTGTTTCTTTGTTTTGGCTGAAAAAGGAAGTATTCTAAAATACACTATTAAGTTAAAAAGCAACACCCAAAGGACATATGTAGTTACATATACACCATATATATATATTATATCCTATATAATAAAAGGCTAATATGCAAATCCACTTAATGGTGGAATGTCTGGTCGCTATGCTGCACACATGAGGGGTTATTTGGTTCTTGTTTCTTTGTTTTGGCTGAAAAAGGAAGTATTCTAAAATACACTATTAAGTTAAAAAGCAACACCCAAAGGACATATGTAGTTACATATACACCATATATATATATTATATCCTATATAATAAAAGGCTAATATGCAAATCCACTGAATGGTGGAATGTCTGGTCGCTATGCCGCACACTGACCACCAGGGGCCAGGCGCTCAATGCAGGAGCTGCCCCCTGGTGGTCAGTGCACTCTCACAGGGGGAGCACTGCTCAGCCAGAAGCCATGCTCACGACTGGTGAGCACAGTGGCGGTGGTGGGAGCCTCTCCCGCCTCCACGACAGCTCTAAGGATGTCTGACTGCCATCAGTCAGACATCCTCCAAGGGCTCCCGGACTGCAAGAGGGCACAGGCTGGGCTGAGGGACCCCCCTGAGTGCATTAATTTTGTGCACTGGGCCTCTAGTATATAGAAAAAAACGTTTAAAAGATCAACACCAAAATGTTTATAATATGTATTGTCAAGTATTGATGTTACAGATTTTTTTTCTAAAGTTTTCCACAGAGAGAATATATTGATTCTATAATAAAAATAAACCTTTGATAGTATAACAATAGAAAAACATAATTAAATTTGAAGCCAAGTGAACACAACTTCAAATATGGAATTTTTAATGCAGAATACTGAAGGACAATTATTTTTTTTCTATTTATTCATCATATTTCAATGAATAGGATTGTGACATTGCATTTGATTTTTTATTTTTTATTGAATTTATTGGGGGGATATTGGTTAATAAAATTATATGGGTTTCAGATGTACAATTCTATAATGCATCATCTGTATACTGTCTTGTGTGTTCACCACCTCAAGTCAAGTTTGCTTCCGTAACCATTTATTCCTCCCTTTACACTCTTCTACCTCATCCCGTGCCTCTCTTTCCCTCTGGTAATCACCATAACAATACTATTGTTTAGGTCTATGAAGATTTGTTTGCTTGTTTGTTTTTCTTAAACCTTTCACCATTTTTTACTTATATTAAGTTTTCAGTCCACACAAACTCTGAGATCTTTTCTCAGGAATTGCTTTCCAGCCCAAATTTTCTGCTTCCATTACTTTTTATTATTTGAGCAAAGTTTAAGCATCTTCTATATAAGATCCACATTCAATTATTTGATAAAAATAAAATCCAATTACAATAAAACAACACATGCATGCACATAATATAAAGAACTAAATAATTAAAAAGTAAATTAGCCTTACTTTCTATACTACTCTATAGCTGCAATGACTTTAATATATTTTAGCTGATTCTTTAGATTTTGACTCCATAATAAAACACTCACACACATATTTGTGTGCACATAATTTCTTGATTTTTTTAGTTTTAGAGATTATCTACTGTGAAAGATAAAATTCTAATGTGCCACCTGTGCTTCCTGTCTTACCCCCTACTGTCCATTCCTTTGTGTGACCCCTTCCTCTTTAGTTTGAGTTTAGGAGGGATGTACAACTTGTTTCTAATTAATAGAATATGGTAAATACAAATTGAAATTGGTCTCAATACATGGTCAACTGTATTAGGAGCAAGCAATTGAAAATCTTACTCATTGTAGTATATTTTAATTATCTCATACTTTACTTTTTTCTTCTGATTTTATCTGGTTGAGTCCAAGAGTATGATACTTTGAGAATAGTTTAAAGAAGTGGTTGCAAACCGGTGGTCCGTGGACCACTGGTGGTACATGAAGTTTGAAAGGTTGGCGACGGCTGGTTTAAAGTATCCATAATCTCACTAAAGAGAAACTTCTACAAAATTACTTAAACATTATTTTTAAGCAAATTTTCTATTTTCAAACATGCTCTCAGATAGAGCTTTATTTCATAAACTAGAGGCCTGGTGCATGAAATTTGTGCACAGTAGGGTCCTTAGGCCTGGCTGGCAATCAGGGCCAATCAGGTTCCCCACCTCCCTACTTCCCCTCCTCCTCCTTCCCTCACACCCTCAGTGCCCTGCCTCTGCCGCTGGTCAACCGCCATTTCCACGCCGCCCCCTGGTGGTCAGCACACATCATAGCAAGTGATTGAACTCTAGGTCTCAGTCGAACTCCTGAGGGGACACTTTTCATATTAGCCTTTTATATGTATAGATATATATGAGAGGTATGAGACAATTAAGAATCCTAAAATGTAGTAATAGGCAGTATTACTATAAATACAATCATTATTACTTACTACTAGTATTTCTGGCTAACATTTATTGTGTGGTTTTATGTGCTGTTTATGATTATAATCATTTAAAAATCAGCTTGTTTAATACTCCCACAAAACCTTTCAGGCATCCATTACCCACATCATTTTACAGTAAGGAAAATGAAACTAATGCAGGCAGCCTAACTTCAATAAGTAAATGGCAGAGCTGAGATTTTGACACAGTTTTGATTGAGTTCTTCCTGTCTCTATACCAGGAGATGTAGGAATCTTTCTAACTTTTATTTCAGATTCATGCTATCTGAAGCCGGGGAAGTTTTATAGGGAAGCAAAGTCTTTGAGAAGCCTGAGAAGATTGAGAGCTCAAGTGTTATAGCACTTAGTCCTGGGGGGATGGTTCCCAATGACAGGGTGATGAGCAGAGACATCACCACTGAGTGAGACAGGAACTGGGCATCTGCATGCTCGTGTGAACACACTGTCATGAATAAATATGGTAACAAGGCTAATATGTGCAGCAGGGGAAAGACATTAGCAAATTAATGAAATGGAGCTAAGTTTTTGTTCTATTGTGGAGGATAATCATTTGTTGTCTAGTCTTATAAATCAAGGTCACTTATTTCTGTCTCCACACAAGACCCTGTTTTTTCTCAGATGAACTACACTGGATTATTATCTGCATTAAAAGTAAGTAGGTACC